TTCATAACTGGTGGGCCGCAGATCCCTGTGCAAGAATGTAGTGGCAATCAGAATGAAAGTGCGACGGACGTCAGGTGGGGATGCCTAGAAATACGCGGATTCCTGTAAGACACTCGAAAAGTGCACACGACCCTATACAGACAGTGTCCCGCCGAAAGTGTAACGATTTAAAAGCAGTGGACGGTGGAATACCATCGGCATGGGTGCAGTGTGGCAGGAATTAGAGATGGAAGGGCAATTCATATCCTAACAGTTTTGAGCAAAAAAGTAACCGTCGCAGCAGTGGAATCAACTTGATTACAGAAAGCTACAGGAAGCAAGATGCAAGAGCGGACTATAGTTATGCCAAGTGACGAAGAAAGGGGGTTTCTACTATGAGAATGTAGGTTGGCTTAAAATCGTGTGACCAAGCGGAATCTCAGGCTGGGCTTCCAGTATTCGGTCGCGCTTATTTCTGCGCAAAAATCATTTGCACTGCAACCTGAGAACTGCAGTCTTGAGTGTCGTCGATAAAATGTGGCAATACGCGTGAAAAAAGCGAATATGCAAGGGTTACGCATTTCAAATTATAAGACCTTTTGCCTCAATTTTTGCATTACTTGATGTGAATCTAAAGAAAAGACGGAGAGGACGACAGATTGATAGGTATAAGCAACGTATGTGAGCGCACGTCACGTGGTGATGCAACTGGTCAGAGAACTGCGTAAAGCGACCACTGAATAGGCTCGAAATGTCAAGGGTCATAGGCTCATGAGGGATTGCACGTAAACAGGGGCTTCATAAGCTGGGCGCAGAAAATATTACGTACAAGCTACGGAAGGGATTGGTCGTGAGAAGTTTGGTACGGTCGTACTGGTTAATCTTCTAAGCACGTTCGGCGCACCCAGTTAGGAAGCGGAGGTCATATGGTAAATCAAATTAGACCACGAATTGTGTTCGTTGTGCCAGTTTCGCTACGGTGCAAATGGTTTCACAGAAACACTGTACATGAGCGTCCAGTGATAATCAGTTATTGCTATTGAAGTATTTGGGATTGACTGGCGAATTTTGGGATCAATATGGAGGAAGGATATTACTCAACCCATCGCCGGGGTAGCGTTGTTCGTTTCAGCGATTTAGGCATGAAAACAAGTCAAGCCTAGTTCGATGTACTGGCTTTCGAGCAGCCTAGGGTACTCTCACTGGTGAAAGGAAGGCATTCACTGCGGAGTTATTTATTCAGAAATGCCAACTGACCGGTTACAGACCATTGAACAGGGAAGCAAAACTCTAACCTGCAACTTAGTTACAAAATCTGGACACAGATCTTCTCCCGAACGAGCCTTCCTAGAGATTCGTTGCCTCCACTCATTCGACGGTCAAATTCAAGCAAATGTTACAAAATGGCCCCACGAATTCCGCAACAGAATTCCCTTTTTCAGTCGACGCAAAGCGAAATTCTACGGAC